AGGGAGAATCTCCACCATAGCATACATTTCATACTGTATGTGCTAGAGATATGACCAATCAAGTGAGTGAGTGAATGGATCCCTACTTCATCACTGTGTGAGTACTTGATATCGTATATTGATTTACGAGTATACCCTTATGACTTTGACTATGCTACGAAGCGTAGAGTTGATGTTTGCTACTTTAGTGTGCTTCCTATGGTCACGAGTGATTCGATCTACTGGGGCATGTCTAGGAAAGCAGTCGACTCGAAACTAAGTAGTAGTAGGGTGAAAGGAAGGTAAAGTATTGTCATATCACTCATATGTGTTCACCGGCCGGCCAGTTATAATTTGTTGTGTACTTATCATAACTGGGAATACATATGGAGTAGTGGGAGTTAAGTATCGTCTTTATTTATTTTATTGAGGGGTCAAGAGATATTGGACTCGATGTGACAAAGTGAACCTAGGGTATAGAATACATCGTGTATTTATTTATTTATTTATTTTTCCCTGAGGTTGAATCTCCATTCTGGCCCTGTGTGGGTTTCTAGTTTGGAGCTCCCGCATGCAGGTGTATTCGGTGGTCACACGACCCATTTGCTAGTATGAACTCAGAACTGGTAAAAGTCATTACCTTTCACGGGTGAGTGGGAGATGACGGTTGAAACACCCGGTGAAAGGGTGTATGTGAGAAAAGACATAACCGTAGGATATAACCATTGTACCGGTTGTGTCTCTTGCATAAACACCGCTTGAATCCTATAAAAGTATAGGTTCTATATGACAAATGGAGATGCAGAAAACATCATAAAAGAAAACGTGAATCAGTTTTGGTGAGTAGCATTTGGGTTGTGAATCTGCGATTCCGACTCTGGTAGCCGGTTTCCGACCATTGTCCAGAGTATTTGAAGACTGTGATTTCAACCAAAGAAAAGATCGACTGAATCGGTACGCGACTATCCTTCCGTTTTCTTACATATAGAAAGTGCTTTGTGTTAATGTTGCTTAATGATGGACTTCAACAGGAAAATTTGGCACTGGTTAAGCTTCTAGAGGAGAGAGAGTATCCTTTTCATACGTATATACATATGTTCTGATTTCCAATTTCTAGTTCCTGAATCCTCGAATCATGTTCTAAAGACCGAACATCGGGTTAATTGCCATGCGTCACGAGCAATCGAAACGATATTTTCTTTAACCGGTGGCTGTGATATGAAGTAAATTCATTGAGGTAAGCACCACTGAGTTGCAGAATCTACGGGTAGATATACACAGGCTGCAGGTGCAGAATTGGAGCCTAGCTCAATCCAACAGCCAGTTTTTAGCCGTATGATCCATCAGTACATCAGTTTTCTTGCTCCTTTTCTCACACTAATATTGATTGTGTACGTTTGATCTTCTTGATTTATATAATCTGATCAATACCTTCACGTCTTTGGTTGTGCAGGAGATAGATTTAGCTAGAAATAAGGTGATTGATGATAATGACGGGTTTGCTACGGTTTTCTTAGCGCGCGCTTTTCGTGCCTACACATTTTTTGTGTTTTGTGTCTGATTTTGGGTCGGTTTCTACGATGTTCTGTCAGGTGAAAGCATTACAGCATGAGATTGTGTGCAAGAATGCATTGCTTAAGGCTAAAACTTCCGAATTAGAGGTCGGTTTATTGCCGCAACGTGCCGTTAACTTTCTGGATGACAAGAACCGATTCTCATTTGGAAACTTTTCAGCTAACAAGAACCAAATCTTGTGTGTTTTCTTGCTGAACATGTAAACCTTTCAGGCTATGAAACAACGGGAAGACGCTGTATCAAGAAACACGGTAGCGGCTGAGAATGTGAAGAGGAACGTGAACGAGGAAGAGGGCAAACCTTCTGAAACAAACAGAAGGCGAATAGTGAGAAGCAAATGTATATATATTTTTTCATGTGCTTGCTTTCAGACCTCTCTTCTAATGCTCTATGGTTCATCAGTTTTACTTAACCTTCCTTTGTTTTCTTCTTTCGAGTGGTATCTTCTTCTTCAGCCATGGGAGCATCCACTGCACAGAGGAGTGAAGTAGACAAAGCAAAAGCTGAAATCAAAGGGTAATGTTTTCTTCTCTTTCAAGTCACATTGTCTGGTTATAATCAAATGTGTATGATGTCGGTCTTCCAGGAGACGGCAGAGAAGGCGGTCCTCGAGGTTCGGGTCACGAGATCACGGGGACGGCCATAATTTGTTTGAAATAGAAAATCTTCAGCTAACAATGCCTAATGGCACCCATCAAGATAAGGAACAAGAGCAAGAACAAGACAGAGTCTTGGAGAGAAGAGATGCCATTACAAGACAAGAGAACAGTAGAGGTCAAAGGTCGTCGATGGGCTGGCCGTTGAGAAGATCGGTTGAGAAGATACATTCTTACAAAGAAGTTCCTCTCAACGCTAAAATGAGAAGGCCTCTGTGAAGAACGAAGAAGAAGAAGACTTGTTGTTTGTTTGTATAATGTCTTTAGCTTTGAGATCTTATGTATTCCCCCATCCACCCGGGTTCGAATCTGGTTTGGTTAGGGTGAATGGCCGTATTTTTTCCATTCTTCTAGAACATATAATTAGATCAAAGATTCGGTGAACTTTCGCATTATCAAAAAAAAATTGTAATATCACATTTTCATTTGTATGCATTTTCTTTTCTTTTTTTTTCTATTTTTTTTGTTTTTCTATAAATTTAGAAGAAAAAAATTTATCTAGAACACTAATAATACCATGAAATTGTGGGTTTAATTGTATAAATTATTCGAAATAATTAAGATTGATATTATTAGTTATCTAATCACCTCAAATAATGCTACCAACTGATGATATTATGATACATACAATGCACCAATCAAATCACATATTCAACCAAAAAAAAATGCTACATGTGCTTGATCTTGAAATATCATAACAATTTTTTTATTTATTTGGCTAAGGAAATTTTGTAAATAAGGAATAAACCAAACCCAAAACACGAAAGATGCGAGTAGGGTCAATTCATTCACACATTCTTAATGTAGGTTTACACTATTAGGGTTCAATCTCTTCCATTGGGACATTCTTAATGTTGTTCAAACAAGGAAATATCACGGCATTATTTTCCACCCCATATGATGATTAGGATTTAAAATTAAATTACTTCCATAGTAAGACAATATTTTGGTAAATCAATTGTGAAACTATATTTGGTTCTAACCTGTCGATGACAAATAATATTTCACTTTAATCTCTATAAAATACACTTCAGTAATCTATATCTGAATATATTAAGAATATTTGAATGATAGCAAGTAAAGATTATTTGGTAATTTTTTTTTATCATTTCAATAGAATATTAGACCGATGGATTAATTTTCATAGGTTGACAAGTATGTAAATTTTGTCATCTCTTTTGACATATTTGATTAGTTGTTTTTAGGGAAAAAAAAGTTTAGCATATATATATATATATATATATGTATGTATGTGTATATAAAATTAAATAAATTATATTTTAAAATATTAAATTATTAATATATTCATAATCTGAGATTAATCTAGATTTCAATAGAAAAATACGAATATTTTATATTAAAAAGTCATAAATAATTTTAAAAAGTTAAAAAAAATGCCTCTTCCATCGTGGCATCCATAATTGAGAATCTAATTCCAACACACGCAATACATGTTCAAGAACATTTGTGTTGGTGGCTTCACTGTCATGCGTGAATTTTGAATTCCCTATTAAAGAAATTTCTAAAAATATGTAATACCCTTATAAGTTAAAAAATTTCCTTACAGATAAATTTTACAATTTATACGTGTTTTATAAAGGTATTTATAATAACATTATTAATATTGATCTAAAATAAGTTTTTATTGAAACAAATTAGACAATTATATCTACTAGTTTGAGATGATATTCTAACACATTTTTTTGGGAAAAGAAAAAAAACAACTTTTTTTACATTAAGATTTTTAAAATTTTAATTAATCATGTTTTCATTAAAAATAGTTTTTAGATCAACTATATAAATAGAGCACATGAACATGTAGATATGACATTATGAAGATGAAATATTAATTTGGAAGCAATATGTTTGGTTTGGTGCAGAGTTTGCTTATTCTTGGCGCAAAAGAAATTATAACAAAAAAATAGCATAAAAATTAAATTATAACAACAAAAACTCTAAAGGAATAATAAAAGCATTGTATATATATATATATGTTGACACCTCTACAAAAACAATTTTATTTGGTGTATAAATATTATTTTTTTTTTATAAAAGGTACAAATATATTAATATATATTTTTATTAAATTATATATAACGGGAATATATTGAAAAATATATTAAGGATATATGTGCCCCATATCTACATATGGAGATATATCCATATCCATATACAAAACTACACATATATGCTATGCAAACATATCTTAATCTGAATTTTTCTTATGTGGTAAGATGACATATTTTTGTATCCAAATGTAAATAGCATTTTTATTATAAAAATAGAGAACGCGTATAATTATAAAACCAAATGAGGGAGCTATTATGTAGCACTACATTCAAATTACATATATATATATATATATATATATATATAACTTGTTAGGTCCACAAATTAAATGAAACATTTAATTGCCACACACACATATATATATGTATGTATATATAATCTGAAACGTCAGTAAGATTTGAATTAATATATTTACACACACACAATGTGTATTTCTTGAAGCTCGCTTTTTCCTCTCGTAACACCTAACATGCTGTATGTCAATTTTTTTAAAATGTAAAAATATTTTTTAAAATGCCAAATTAGCAATTTAATTTGGCATTCTAATAAGATATAATAATTTCTAAATAAATTTAGACGGGAACGAAAAAGAAAGCGATAAAACAAAATTTAATCTCGTTATATATATCTATATACATATATAATTTTTATGGAATTTTCTAACTAATCCAACGAATATATAAGCCATTTTTCCCATTTTTAGTAATATATACACATTCATAATATTTTTTTATAGAATTTTTTTTTAACTAAACGCGTGATAGATTTAGTATATCTTTTCAAAAGTTAATTTTCCATTCTCTCTCTTCTATATATCCATATATATATATATAATATTTATATATAAAAATGTCATGCCTAAACGATTGAAGAACTACGTTTACAACGACTAACCGCCGATTGATACAAAAAAAAAAATGAAAAATAAAAGCCCCAATCGCAGAGCCTGCAAGTGGATCTCCACCGTCCATTAAGATCCAACGGTTAAGAAACATTGGTTCCACAGTTGGGAATTAGATGATATTATTGGATAATGATAATATGGTGAAGACAATTAATCACAATGGTTCATTCCCTAATTGTGATTTGCACAACACACTTGAACAAATAAGCGCCTGTAAAATGCTAAAATTACCGAATTTCGCTCATAGGGGTATTATGGTAATTTAGCTTCCAAGGGAGGCATACATGACATGACCCAGCGTACAGCCCGAGACCGTCGCCGATCTCCACTCTGCTCCATCGCCATGTGACTGCTCTCTGCAAATTTTGTTTTGTTTTTTTTTTATCTTTTGGATAAAAACCATTTTTTTATTGTTTTTTTTTTTCGTATGAACCCACCGGATTCCGACCAAAACCCATTAGAGCATGATAACCAGATCACCGATTTCGATCCTAAAGTTTTAAAATTTTCCATTGTTTTTTTGTTTTTTTGCCTCAGTTTTTTAATCAAATCTCAGTGAGAATACCACCCAACAAGGCATTTTTTTATTTATTATGGATTTGTAGAAAACTCAACGACTCTTTCTCTGCATTCTCCCTGTCTTCGTCCCTTCATCTCTACTTCTTCATCATCATCATCATCTCTCACCAGAACCAGAAAAAACCCAGAAAGAGAAAGCTCCATTTCGCCTGATTTTTTTTTTTCAAAACACGAAAAATAGCCATCTGTTTCTGAAAAAAGTGTTTGTTTTGTTGGTGGGTTAGAGTTTAAATGTGGAGAGAATGTCGCTGGAGATAAAGAGAGCGTGCAAGAACAAAGGGAGGATGGGGGTCATAGTGAGAATGCAGGTTAATCACAGAGGAAGAACATCGGATAACAAGAAGAGCTTCGTCTTCGTCTTCTTCTTCTTCTTCAGAAATTATTACAAATGGGTCCTCTGGTTTTTCCTCTCCTTGTATTTGTTCACCTCGTGCTTTGTCGGAGGCCGCACGTCGTCGCCGTCTTCGTCGGGCTCTGTTCTAAGAACCCGTCTTTCGTCTAACCGTGTGTCATCCTCGTCTCTCCAATCTCGCGCCCTGATTGAATCTTCCGCCGTTAACGCCACCTCGATGGTCAGACCAGGTAGAGATTAATGCTCTGTTCGGACAGTTTTCGTATGTTTATTCCTCACCAGATGTCTTCTCGTTTATCTTTAATCATCTTGGATTTGATAAAAGTTCGTTCTTTTTCATAATTTCTTGTCTGATTTAATGCTTCCATATTGTCGTGGATTCTCCATTTTTGTTTTAAGCTCTCATTTTAATTAACGACTAAGCTTCCGTTTTAATGCATTATTTCATGGATTTTTTGGGTATTAATGAACTAATTTCGGTAATTCGAATCTCGGACTCATGTGGCCTCTTTTAATCTTCCCCACTTTTACCCTAAAAAACATCTTTCAAGAACTTGAAAAATCTCATCTTTTTTGTGGGTTTATTTCTTTTTTTTTTCTTGTTTAATATTTGCCGTTTCAAAAGGTGCATTCAAGGGCATGAAGATATACATCTACGACTTGCCGGAAAAGTACAACTCCGACTGGGTCGCGTCCTCGGACCGCTGCGCTACCCACCTCTTCGCGGCGGAGGTCTCCGTCCACCGAGCACTCCTCTCCGCCGCCGCCGTCCGTACTACGGAGCCTGAAGACGCCGACTTCTTCTTCCTCCCCGTCTACGTTTCCTGTAACTTCTCAACCTCCAATGGCTTCCCTTCTCTCGGCCATGCTCGGTCCCTCCTCCGCTCCGCCGTCGACTACGTCGCGACCAAACACCCGTTTTGGAACCGAACACGTGGCTCCGACCACATCTTCGTCGCCTCCCACGACTTCGGAGCTTGCTTCCACGCCATGGTCAGTCCTGATCTTTGACGCATTTCGGTTTTCCAGTCCGGTTTATTCATTTCTTTAGGAATGGTTCCCAAAATGAAACAGGAAAAATTATATTCTGATTCAGCCTAAGAAGCTGACCGTTTTTTCGAAGAAATTTTCGTTTTGATTTGGTTTTTCATATTCAGTTCAGTTTTGGTAAATTTGGTAAGCAAAATGTTTCGAAATTAAACCGAAAACACATTTGAATTGGATTTGCCCAATCCGAGTCGGTTTGGATCGGTTAGATCTTATTGCCCATTGTGCATATACCATGAAAATATACCAATGAATTTATATATTTTTATTGAAATGTAATGTGTAGGAGAACAAGGCGATTGAAGATGGGATTCCTGAGTTCATGAAGAACTCCATCATTTTACAGACCTTTGGTGTAACTCACGATCATCCCTGTCAAGACGTAGAACACGTGGTGATTCCTCCTTACATTCCGCCGGAAAGCCTACGGAGAACTCTCGACAGAGCTCCGGCGAACGGCCGGCGAGATATCTGGGCGTTTTTCCGGGGGAAAATGGAGGTCAACCCCAAGAACATAAGTGGTCACTTCTACGGCAAGTGAGTACATTATCCCTTCGTGCCTGAAAGAAAGTTTTTTGTCCCCATAATTCGTATTTATTTACCAAAATGCCATTGTCTGAAGGGGTGTGAGGACGGTCATTCTGAAGAAGTTCGCCGGAGACCGCCGGTTCTACCTCCGGCGACGCCGTTTCGCCGGTTACCAGTCCGAGATCGTACGCTCAGTGTTTTGCCTCTGCCCTCTTGGGTGGGCCCCGTGGAGCCCACGCCTCGTCGAGTCCGTTGTTTTGGGCTGCGTCCCCGTCCTCATCGCCGACGGAATCCGTCTGCCGTTCCCGGAGATTGTGCGGTGGCCGGAGATTTCCCTCACGGTAGCGGAGAAGGACGTGGGGGATCTGCGGAAGGTGCTGGGACGCGTGGCGGCTTCTAATTTGTCCGTCGTGCAGAGTAACCTAAACGATCCGGCAGTGAAGGGGGCCCTACTTTACAATGTCCCCATGCGGGAAGGTGATGCCACGTGGCATATTCTCGAGGCGTTGTCGAGTAAGCTCGATCGGTCGTACCGGAGGTCAATGGTTTCGAACCAATGAGAAGAAGACACGTGTTGTACTATGTTGCGTGGATGCCAGGCTGGAATTATTGGACCTTTTCGGCATATGGTGGAATGTTTCGCTGGATGGGGTCCACCGGAATGTGAGGATACTTTTGGACACGTGAGCTGTCATCTGAATTGGCGTTCATTCATTGGATCCACGTGTAATGTTCCCTGGGCAATTGTAAAGTAAGCTGACGTGTAATTTTTTGAAATCTAGGAAAAAATAATTCTTTTGTTATTAGCATTTAATACAAATGTCTCCATCCTTTATTAAGCTTAATAAGATCAGATATAATACAACTTTATTACTAATCGCAATGTACACTTAACAACTACCCAATCTTGTTATGGAAACAGCTTTTATAAATGGTAGTAAATCTTAAAACAATTTAATATATTTTTCGCAAATTGGCTTAGATTTTGTATAGATTGTTGTTCTTGTAAATTCCCAAAAAAAAAAATTAAATTAAATTTTTAAAGGAAATATAAATGAAAATGTGGTATGCTTAGGGAATCGTAAAAAGACAGACAAGTAATGTGCAGAAGACAGCTAATGTGTCAGAGAAATGGGCATAAGTGGGTCACCATCTTATGTCTTGTATGTATCAGTGCACCGGTACAGTCCATAATGATATATATATATATATATATATACACAATATAATTTTTATTTAAATTTGATCAGTTTACCAGCTGATCAAGATGTTACGTACAAATAATATTAGTTGTCAAATATTATTTAAATATGTTTTGTATGTTGTAAATGGGCATTAACTTATTAACAATTTGTGAACATCTACATTGGATAATTTTGCAGAACCTTTCTTACACATTTTAATGATCTAGAATTTCGTGTTTTTACTGAATTCTAGAAGCTCTTGAATCATTTGTTTTCATTATAAACATAAATTGAAGAATGTGAAAAATTATATAATAAAATTTACCAAATACGTCGTATTTTTTAATACAACATGCAATATAATAAATAAATTCAAACTAAAAAAAATGTAGTGTTATATAAATTTTTTATATTCTATAATATAAATACACATGCTAAAGTTCTAACAAATAGTAATAATATGATCACTCGAAAATGTTTTAGTGAATAACGTATGATTTAAATTCCGTGCCATAATTGGGAAAAAAAATTCCGCCATAAATATAATTATTTTAGAATAGAAGAATATATTTTCATAAACTTTAGACAATTAGCCCAAAATTGGTATTTTCTTGAAACCCATTGGGCCCATAGAAAGAGGCCTTAGCTCCATTCTCTTAAAATGTTAAAATTTAAATTCGAACTGTAAATATTTTAATAAACTTGGATCCAAAACGATTAGCCCAACCGAAATTGGCTAGCATGTGACCCATTGAGATTTTAGTTACATTTAATTTATTTTTAGATCTATTTATATCTATTTTATTTTAATTAATAATTTGATTTATTTTCTATTTTTTTGTTTTCATTTGGTTTCAAATATGATTCATAATTTTTAAAAAATATATCTAATTTGATTAAAAAAATATACGATTTATTTTTATACTATTAAATACGGTTATTATTTCGATTCGATCTTAGATATTTGAACCAAAATATCTAAAGGTGGGAAGAGATAATAGATCCAAAAGATTGGTTATGATAAAATACATAAACCCTAAAATCTTGAAGGCATATATATATATATAATTTGTAAATACATAAAATGTAGATACAAGAAAACATGTGGGACGTCGATATCAAGGTCGGGCAATGAGATGGACAAGAGAAATTCACGTGCCAGAGAGCAGAGAGGAAAAAACACTTTTAAAATAAGACAACATGGATGGAATGTTGATATCTCTTCACAAGTTTTTGTATGTAAATGAAATTGAATCTTTGAGGAAGCATTCACATCACATGGGATCCCACCGCACCATTCTTCCATTTCATTTTTTGCATTGGGAAAAGTGGGCACTCATCGTTCTTGAATTGACCCATCTTTATATGATTCCATATCTTTTAAATGAATATTTTTTGTAATAAAGTTTTAACCCAAAAAAAAATATTTTTGTAATAAAATGAAAAATATTTGATTCCATGTTATAAAAAATATTCAATTTGGATAGCTCCACCGTTGAAATAAGATATAGAAACCTCTAGTTGGAGAGGGAATATTCATATTGTTTTCTCTCTCCGTTACGAGATTAGTTTGGATCTCGATCAATATATCCGATAACCCAAAAAAAAATATCGGATATGAAATATTGAAGATATACTTTAGCCTATGATAAGGGATTCTATACAATTCTATGAATATACTAAATTTATGCGTTTGGTCTATGAACCCAAATTGAACTGCATTGGGTTATACGGTTATAGATTCTTTTATAGCTTGTGATATAAGATAATTTCATACATTTTTATTCGTATGAAAAAAATTAGACAAAAGTAAAAGAATTAATGAGAAAATTGGGCTAAAAGTTCTATATCAATCAACTCAACATAAAAAACTTACCTTTTTTGTTTTAAATTTGGTCCAACAAACAAAAGCATACATCAAAACTATGAGGAGAGACATTTTTATTTAATTTAAATTGGCAAAAAAACACCCAATTTGCCACAATTACAAAAATAACCAAACGATGAGCAAAACAACAAAAGGAAAAAAAAGGGCTTGGACGCTCAACTGCTCTTTTGCAAGTGGACCCATCTCAATGCCCCCACTCTCACACCAACATATACATACATACACACACACATATACAGACATACATACATACATACATATGTATGTATAGCCCATGTGTTACTTTTGTATTGGATGAAAGAAGTTTGTATATGGTATCAGCACTCTGGTGTTTGGGTATGGTCCCTCTTGGGGTCATGGCAATAATTGTAGACCATGTAGTTCCTCTGGACAAAAGCCATCGCGGCCGCCTGCTGCTGGCTCAGTCCTCCCGAGCCGGAGGGCGCGGCGGAAGGCGGGCGGCACGAGCCATCGGCCGTGCACCCGGCTATCTTGAAGTCCTTGTATTTGGCGACAAAAGGTTGGTACCTGTAATCTGCCTTGATCCTTCCATTCTCCGTGGCCCAATCCGACGCATCCCATATCGATCCGTACACCCACATCGGCCTCGTCGGAAACGTCGCCTCGCTCTTTCTCTCGTACCTTCTTATCGGCACGTCGTCCACAAAGAATCTGTAAAATTGGAAATATGAGGATACATAATCTAATTATGTTTTTTTTGTGCATGAAATATATTAGATATATTGTTATATTGTAACAATATATCTAATAAAATAAGGTGCAACTCTATATGGCTTACATGATTTCGCTAGGGTTCCATAATATTGCGTAGTTGTGAAAATCTTGAGTAGGGTCGAACCACAAATTAAATTTCATTTCTCTTCCTATAACGTTTCCGTCGCCACTTCCTCTAAAGAAAACGTTCGTTTGAAGCGTGTACGGCTTTCCGGGCGTTGTCCCGAGGAACTCGATGTCGACCTCGTCGTGGTCTCGGGGATGATCCTCGTTGTTAGAGAGCTATATAATTAACACCAAGATTATAATAAGGTTAATGATTGGACTGACCGAAATTGACCTTGATTGATTATAAAATTTATGCATATAATAAGATTCGTACATATAACGATGTATCGACTCCCGCTGTATAACCGGGTTGGAGCTTTATGGATGCACCGAAGTAGCCCGACTTGTACGGTCGAAGTGATTTGAACCCACTTCCTGTTCCATTTTACATTGATTGATTAAGGAATCATTAGGACAAATAATTAAAAAATATAATTGACAAGTGAACCCTACCGACATATATACATACATAAATATACAAACACGTGTATGGGCACACACGGCATAGTACGTACCGGGTGAGTGATGACACGTCACTTTTACACAATGACAATATCTAGGCCCATTAATATGAAAAGGAATTTCTTCCACTTTCCAATTCAATTGTCACTAAATTCATACCCAACTCTTAGATAAATTTATTTAGAAAATATATATTCTATTAACAAAATCGAATGGAACCCAATATAAAAACCGAATATATATATATATATATATATATTATAAAACGGAGAAATTCAAACTCTAACATTAACCAAACCAAAACCCAAATATTATCTCGTTGGAACGTTTTGGATCCTAAAAGAAAGCAATTCTCACATCCAAAAAAAAAGGGGGGGAGGGAGGGGGGAACAAGAACGAACCGGAAGATCTATCGAGCCAAAGGGTGATAGTATTCTGCTCGACCCGTTGGTGTTGCGAACCCCATAGGCTTCGGAAAACACGTTCGAAGGGCGAGGAAGAGATCCGAGAACTCGGGAAGTACCCGGGCGAAGGAGGAGATCCATCAACGTAAGCAATAGGAGACATTGTAAGAAGCACATTGATAACAATTACAAGAGGAAACGCCATTTTTTCGGACAGAAGTCTCCAAGTACAAGAGAAACACAAAGGAGATAAGGAGACAACGAGAGTTTGAACTTTTGAGTTATTGAATGAGGAAAAATGTGAGAAGGGTTTGGTTTAAATAGGGAGAAAGCTTAGAAGTGAGTGTGCAATCATTTAATAAATGTCAGCCTATAAATATATTCAATTATTTTTTCAAAATATAGTAAGGGAAATGCAATTTTGATTTGATTAAATATTGCATATTGCGGTCGAGAATTAGTTCTTTTAACTTCCAAAAGTCTAATATTCCGATTACGGCAACCACTAACCCTACAAAACTGTTTATTTAAATTTTGCAAAAACATTTTGACTTAAGTTCAGATTCTTGCTAGATTTCGGTCTCTTGGATTTTTTTTTTTGGGTTTATGTAACACACTTTAATCTTTTTGGGTTGGATTATTTATGAGAGACTAATTAAAATTGCTTTAGTTAGATTTAATTTAGTTTGGTTTAGTATAGAATGTCTGACTCCGGCCGGTTTACTCTATTTTTAATTCATTTTGAAATACACTGGTATTTGTATAACTAATATACTCTAAATCAAACCAAACAAAATCGGTTTAAACCGGCCTTATTCGCCGATGCTGTTAGTTGTTATTTAACATATGAATAGAGAAAAAAATTGAAATTTAAAATGAAAATTGTCGGTCCATTGTCTCTCACGGTAAAAATGATGATCAAGCATTTAAGAAAAATAATTGCCCGTATAGGTGACATGAGCATTTAGGTATGTGTATGTGTATACATATAATAATACAATGCACCGGACCACCGGCTCGTTTTTTCCACGTAAAAACTATAAATAAAAATGAGATTGTTTCAATTATTTATTATTATATAATATTTATTGCCATCAATTTCCGAATACCCTTTTTTGTTAGGAAAAAGTTGAAGATGGTTAATGTTCGGTCGATGTCCTCCCGAATGTCACATGTCTTGGATAAGAAACGGGATCGGTCCAAAGTTTCTCCTTTGGGTTATTTTGAGATCATTTTTTTCTCTTTTATTTTGATTTTTATGTCAAATAAGCTATCTGCACGCATATATATATATATATATATATATATATATATATATATATATATATATTCTCGAAAAGGTATCTCGATTATATCTATATATATATATATCTATACATATATTTGCGTGTTTGTAAAAATTTTGATCCGAATTTTGTATAAATGAGTAATCCTTAGATAAAAAAAAGTGTTTTAATTTAAAATAAACAAATCCTAGATTTTTCAATCGTGTAATTAGATCAACATATATAATATTTTTCTAGTCCAATGGAGGATTTTATGGTTATATAGAAATATTCATTATTTAATCATGTTATTTTCTATAATATAATTACGTGTTCCAATTTTTCTTAATTGTTTCGATATTTTCTTACGGAACAATTATTAATGTGTACATGGGAATTCGTCCTGATTTAGAAAGGAAGGGCGTCAAAGTCCCGTTATAACTTATATATACAAGGTTATTTGAGGAAATAAATTATACTATGGATCTGATTTTGTGATAATTACGGCTAATTAGTTATTTAATTCATAATTAGGAAGCATGAATCTGATTCGTTCAACTGCTTCCCAACTAAATGAACACAGTGGATTAAATTTAATCTTTACTTGCTATCTAAAGTTTTCAAGGTTTGCTGTAGTTAAGTAATTAACGAGACTAGGTTTTCTTATTTTTAAAATAAAAAATTAATTTATTTGTTACATACTTTGGTAAACGTTACTAATCTAAACATTTTAAATTAGAAAACTAAATAAAAATAAAATCGAATTGAATTTTCATATTGCTTGGAATATACAATATTTTTTCAAAAAATCAAATAAACCTTTTTATTTTAGGGAAAAATCTCTAAAAATTCCTGAATTTGCAAATTGCGGTAAAAAAATTTCTAAACTTACGAGGATCCCTAATTATTTTTTAACTTGAAAAAAGTGACTCAATAACTTCCAATCTTGTTAAAAAGTGTCATAATAGTCCTTAACATAAAATGATTAAAATAATACGATTTTAAGTCCTATATGGCAGGTGACTTGTCAAACCATGTCGGATTTTTGAACCATGTATTCTGAACCGGTTTAGAAAAACCGGTTCAATAAAAGCGGTTTGAAAGAGTAAATTCCGGGTTCAGTGTAACTTTGACGGAACTTTCACTCTCCTTCATCATCTCGTCCGCCACCCATGGCGGAACCTCCGGCTCCTCCTTCTCCCACGTCGTGAACCTCTCTCCTATCTCCACCATCTTCTTCGTCTCCAAGTATGCTTCCAGCTTCATGTTCGGATTCTCCACCGTGAGATTCGTTGTCCACTGAGCGGTGAAATCGGGTTAACTCGCGTTAAACCCCAATTTTATGATCAAATGGGTCACCGAGAAAATCGGGATTTGGTATCGGAGAACGAGCCAGGTCACGACGATGGAGATGCAGAGGATGACGACGAGGATTATGAGTCCGGTGAGGATTCCTCGAACGAATCCGGCGGAGCGACGGAGCTCTGGTTAACCTGATATTGATGGGTCATGTACGGCGATGGCGATGGCGGCGACCTGTAATATGATGCATGTGGAACTTATCCATAAGGTACGTAGTATATGTTGTACGGTCCATTCGAATCATTCAGATAGCCCATCACCGGGGATTGTGGCGGATGGTGGTTTCCCGGTTGAGGCATGCGGCGGAGGAGCCGGTGGTTGGTAGGTTTCCAGTTCAGATGACGCATGAACCATTTCTGTTTTGGGTTGTTCTTCTCCTTCATTGAACCTAGAATTTACTGTTTCAAACCGCTTTTATTGAACCAGTTTTTCTAAATCCGGTTCTGAATACGTGGCTCAAAAATTCGACATGGCTTGATAAGTCACCTGCCATGTATGACTTAAAATCGTATTATTCTAATCATTTTATGTTAAGGACTATTATGACACTTTTTAATAAGTTTAGGAATGACTGAGTCACTTTTATCAAGTTCGGAAATAATTAGGCACCCTCACAAGTTTAGATTTTTTTTTTTTTTACAATTTACAAGTTCATAAATTTTTAGGAGTTTTTTCTTTATTTTATACCAAGAGAATTCTATATAAAACCCAAAAATTGTATAAATATTACATGTCAATATAAATATGTAATTTATAAAATTTCTAAATAAATATATGAAAATTTCGAATTATATATCCGTCTACATTAATGGTGTTAAACATAAGTCAGATGAATCATCAATCATGTGAGATTTCGTTACTCAAATATTAATCTTCACTATTTATAGGATAATGTCACCGTTTTAAAAGAGTTGATATATTTATTTCAAAAAAAATGATTCACGGGAGAAAATTTTAACTCAATTCACTTTGATTTAGATTTAGGTGGGTTGCTATGAAAAAAATCTTGATATCAAATTAAATTAGTTTTGGTTTTAGTTTTTATTAGTTTCATGGTTTTTTACCACGATTAAATTATAATAATTTTTATTTATTTTGTTCTCAATTTTGGGTATTAGTTGCAAAATTAGGTACACAAATTAAGCCGGGAAAATCGGGTAGGTTTTACAGTACGGAGATTGATACATCACAACAACAGGATGGTAAAATTCAATCAATGTTAAATTAATTATATTTTGTTACTAATAAATAAAAAAATGTTTAATCAGCCATCACTAACTACTCTTTACAAATAATATCCCGCAATAATACAAATAGCTATATTATTCCATTATTTAAATGAATTATATATCATTCTATGTTGAGGCATGAATGATTGGACATACTTGCTTTTTTTTTATAAAAAAAAAATATAGACATTTGTAAAATTACTTTATGCTTAATCCTGACGTTTTTTTAATCCTCATTCCCTATTCATCGAATAAATTAAATATTTTCCCAAGGGTTTTTTCATTGGATTACCCAAATTCCCCATTCGTTAAATAAATAAAATATCTTTTGGAGCGACCAAATTTAGGCTTTCTTTGGATTGCCAAGATTTTAGGCTTTTGTAAGAAACAAGGACACACCATTGTGGAGGAATAAAAAGGTTACACCATAAATGCACAATATTATTGGATCGTGGCAAAATTTTATTTGAGCGTGGATATTATTTGGGTTTTGATTAGATTTTACAACTTTTTAAGATTCTTTTTTATGTTTATTCATTTTTATTTAATTTTCCATTCAAAATAAGAATCGAATAAATGTATATTATCAAATAACACAAACTTTAAGTGATTAACTGTTGGATTTGGGTTTATTTGATAGAATCAAAACGGGCCTATCAATGTCACACAGAAAAAAGAAACAATCATTTTAGAGAAAAAAAAGTATTCACATATTTGTTCATATCTCTCTCTGAGTTCGCTTGGTGTTTGGAAAGCTTCTTCCAAATACGCGATCGTTGTATTCTGGGAGTTCACCGTGCTCCAATAGCCTCGAAGCTTTAGAGGTGGCACGAAAATCGAACTTAAAGAAACTGTGTTTTACAGGCTTCGACTAAATATATTATTTTAATTTCAGGTACTTATCTGGAATCGCTCGAATTGCCGGAGTTTTGTCATCGTCAACAACCGCCGTCCCCAATATTAACTAAATAAAATCAAAACCAAATGTCTCAAATATTATATTTGATTTCAAAGTCTCATAATATGCATATCAAGGTCACATATTTTGTTTCCACCAGATGTCAAGTATTTTATTGGAATCAAGTGTTAGAATATCACTAGAAATAACTAATATCAGTTAATTACATTTCCATCATACTAATAGAAATGTATGTGAGAAGAGGTAGATATTTTCATAAATATTCGCTCTCACTAATATATAGCATACATACATGCATACATATACATATATATATATATATATATCGTTTGGTGGAGAGTTGCCGTACGAATAAAACAAAACTAGCATCTTATCAAGAGAATGTACTTGTTGTATCAGATGATTTTGTAGGATATTAGACAAATTTAAAATATTTATTGATTCAATATCAATTTTTTGGTAAAGTATTCCTTTCATTCATTTATGTCTTTTCCAAACGGCTTATTCAATAAAAATAAATGCATTTATCGATTCTCTTAATTTTTTTTTCACATGAAAAAAAACCGCAGCATGGTAGCATCACGAGGCACCCATATGTTTGGATCACTGCCACATGCATCGTCCACATGACATAATGTTCGTTATCCATTCAATGATATTTTCAATTGAGTGTTTGAAATTTCGAAATACCTTTTTTGGGGGAGTATATCTGTTTTTTCCACTGAATTTCATATTTTTTTTATATATTTGATATGATAGAACAAACCAATGAACCCTTAAACCAAAACCAATTATAAAAAAGTCCCATATATGATATTATGAAAATCAAATAAATGATTTATCTAAATTCATTCCAAAATGGGATTGACAAACTTATATTCAATTCGTTGTAAAATCTTTCTCCAAAAAATATTTAAAAAAACAGTTCGAACATTTGAATTGTGAAACACTAACTTAATATAGAATCGTTGTTTCTAATTTTTTTGTTTGTTTTTTTTTCTTTTAGATTATCATATTGGGTTATTTTGAGAAATGATTTTTTTTCATATTTTGGATAGTGAATATGTTATATCATATAGTTTAAATCATATATATATAGATATATAACTAATTGAGGTATAATTTAAGTTCCAATATTCATTGAAATTACACAAATAATCAAATTTGACATCATAAATAATAGATGTTCTATATGATATCACGTATCACCAAAATATCACATATAAACAAAATAATATTCCAATATGATATTTCTACTTACCACTAATTTAACTCAATTAATTCTTATGATTTTTGGTAATAAATGAATAAAAAGAAAGAAATTGCGTTTGTCCAAAACCTTTTTATATAAAATTAATAAATATATGTAACGAATTTCTTCTATGGGCAAAAGTTGCTATCATTTTCATGTTATCTTTGTATAAGAGATACTGTGACGTATATGGCATCCGCAAATTATTGCTTATACTTATATAATCTAAGATATTTTTCTGATAATTTTTCTTATCCGCAAAATTAGAGCTGATTATTTTAATACATTAAATATTAAAGATAATCCTTTGTTTGTTTAAACAAAATATTCGGATATTTTGGCTTGGATATGTACAATCGATTTTTAAATAAATTTTTTATTAATAATAATCAAATCATAACTAAATATAAAAATGAATAGATACGCTTTTAAAAATAAAAATAAATAAATATAAATTATAAGTGTTACTCCCTAATTATTTATTTCAAAGTACAAATAATTAAATAAAATTTTACATATAGGCTGCTAAACTTCATCTGTTGGTCTAAAAATGGCCAAATGAATTGAATATATTTTTTAATTAGATATCAATTTTTTTTTTCATACAACTTGCAGCATATGGCCAAATGAGAAGTTCTTCTATTTTTTTTCTGCGATAAGAACCAGAAGAAATTATACAAGACAACTAATAATTATCAAATATGTATATGTCTCGATTTTCTTCTTCCAAATCCTATATTTTAAAAGTTCCACATGAATTATATATTAAGAGTTTTGCAGAAGTCAAAGGAATGAAGCAATTATAGGGGGCAGAAAAATAAAATTTAATTTTGGAAATATATGCGTTACCGACAAAATCAGAGTGGGGATTATATGAATTAAATGCTTCTAAAGTGGTATTATAGTGTTTAGGAACATTCTATCCTTTATCTTATGAGAATAAAAACTTATAATTGTGTAATGATTGAGACAATAATTTAAACCGAATCCTATGTCTGCAATATATGTGCACACACACATATATATATAAATATATTATTCTCAACTTTCGATAATGTTGCTTTTAAAAAACTAATCAATTAAACAAATAAAGAATACAACTAATGCAAAAAAAAAATGTAGAAAATATACAAATAAATATGAGAGGTATGTGTCGGCAGAGGAGCTTGGCATATTTTCAAACCCATTTTTCAAAATATTACACATAATCCCAATAAAAAAAATTGTAATTATGGGTTATATAAATTTTATAAGAAGAACATAATTATGTTATTAAAAAAGAGTCACTGTTTACAAAATGTATTTCATGTAGTAAATACTATAGATAATAAATATTATAATGGATTTTTGTTGCTTATGATATAAACATAATAATATTGTGAGGCCATCACTTATAGTTTCATCACGAGGAGAAGGAAATCATCATCATTGATTGTCACAGTTGGTACGAAATGATTCGTTCGTTGTTGTAACAATCGTTGATATTGAGGTCTACTCCCAACCCAAAACCCTAATAATTTATGTCCGACCATCCATATACGACAAATTTAAATTAATCTCAATAATAAATATTTTTAATAATAATTATTATTATGAAGTCGTTCTTCGACGCCATTAATTATGAAGACATTTTTTTTAATAATAATAATTTATGAACGGTGAGTGAGCTATTATTCTACGATGGCATTGACTTTTAGTGTTTGCAAATTGTAAATTCTTCGACGCCATTAATTATGAAGACATTTCCCAATATCAATGTAAAAGATTATATTTTTGGAAAGATATAATTATTGAAATCTAAAAAAAATCATACCGTATTTATTAGAAGAGACTATTTACTACAGCAATTTTACGTATGTTTAATTTAGTGTTATAATTGTATAAGTAAATGTATATTCGTCGTGTCAATACATTGAAAATTTACCACATGATACGAGAGTCCAAAACATTAAATATTCTTATATTTACAACTTATATAATTCACACGTTAAAATTTATATCGAATTCATCAATCATTAATAGTTATAATATTAGAACACATTGTACATATTTAAAGTCATAAATGTGCATTTTTAAATTAGTTTTTAAACAATAAATTATTCTAAATTAATAATATTGTAAGTGTTTTTCCAATAAAATCATAAATGAACTCATTATACTTTATTTAGAGTCGTATAATATAGTCGTTTTTTAACAAAAATATATCATAAGAATTATCGCCAATAATCCAATTATGTAAAGAAATAATTCTTTCGGAACTCAAACCCAAATAAGATACCATCTAAACAATTATATTAACTTCTCGTGTATATATATATATATATATATATATATTGTTGATCATATATTTTGATGGGCTTCTTGTTGATCATATATTTATTTTTTGGGCATTTGAAAAGCCCAAAATAATTATATTTTCAATTGGTCGATGGCCATTCCTTATTCCATTGAATGCGTGCCAAAAGATTTATCTAAACCCTAAACCAATACATCTTGTTAAATATCTTGTTCCTAGTTTTCTTAATTTGTATTATTTCGATTGAGAACACAATCATTTCGAATTTGACTCAGTGATACAAGTTTTCCTTTAAAAATTATGCGATATGGTTGGGGGGGGGGGGTAGCGTATTATGAAAGACAGGGGACAAATTTAGAACAATAATAACAATTAGGTGTAAAATACAAGTTTTGATAAAGTTAGGGCCCAAAAGGAAAATACGAATAATTCCGATTCTGCGAATTTGTGGAAGAACTTTTTCCTGCGTAGACTTCATTCCCGGAGTTCTTTCCTTCCTGGGTGTTGGTAAGAGATTTGATCTTCAACGACGAAATATATTCTGGGGTTCGAAGAAGAAATTGGAAATCATTGTTCGGAAAGGCGGAGGCGAAGATGGAGAAAGTGATGAACATCATAAAGCCGAAGCCTGATCCGAAACAGCAGCTGCGTGATTGGCAGCGGAGGCTACGCCAAGAGTGCCGCAACATCGAACGCCAAATCCGAGGTTATTTCAATCTTCTATGTTCTTTGAGTCCCCGCTAATTGATTTGTTCGGATGGTTTCGTTGATGGGTTGCCCCTAATCTAGGGCTTTTGAATGAAGTTCAGATTTAGGGAATTTCGGATTTTCGGGAATCCGTACGGTGATTTGGATTGTTGGGTGCCTTCGGTTCTAGGGTTTTGATCGTTTTCGATTGTTAGTCCCCAGAAATATGTAATTTTTCTGAATCGGATACGATCACAGGATGATCACGATTGATGGGTGTTCTTAGACTTGGGTTCTGATTCTGTAGTATTCCTTCCTCTTTTCAATTTCTTAGATTGAATGATACTGTTGGTGTAACTTCCTGGATTAGGCTCTTGTATTGATACATTCCATTTCAGATATACAGAGAGAGGAGAAAAATGTACAGAAAGCTATTAAGGATGCCGCTAAGCGGAATGACATTGGCTCTGCAAAGGTAAACATAATTGCTCTCTTGCTGATACTGAAACATATGGTTTCGATTAGGAATCTTTAATTTCCCAACTTAGGAATTCTGGAGATTTCGTAGAGGTTGGTGCAGTGACCACGAAGTACAGTGTTCTTAGATCATTCATCATCAGGAAGTCTTGCTTTTGTTCCATAAAACCTACTTATCGGAAATACTCGCAATGATAATCATCTTATTGTGATAAATATTGCTGCTGGTGGAGGGTTTTTTTTGTTTGTGAAAATGTGGCCTTTTTCCTTGAAATGTTGGACCTTTTTAGGGAAATAACTTATCAAGCAATTGGCTTGTGATTGTTCAACTCATTGCGTCGGTAATTGAGGGATAGGAAAGTAATGAGAGCGAATTTGAACTGTTTTCAGGACCTGGGTTCAGTTCAAAGTCTTTTGATCCTGTATCATTTTTTCTCTGATGCCCTGATGTTTTATGTTTCCAGGCACTTGCTAAGGAAATTGTTAGTTCTAGAAGAACAGTGAACCGTCTTTATGAAAATAAGGCTCAATTGAATTCAATATCGATGCACCTCGGGGAGAGTGTTGGTATAATGCTTCAGTGGTCTACTTATAGGATTTCCCATACTCATACTGTTTTTCATATGATTGGTACCACATATTTTTTTTTACACCTTTGTTTCAATTTATTGGCTCTGCAGCAATTGCTCGTACAGTCGGACACCTGTCTAAGAGTTCTGAGGTTATGAAGCTCGTGAATAATCTCATGAAGGCTCCGGAAATGGCTGCCACGATGCAGGAGTTCAACAAAGAGATGACTAAGGTCTGTTGTATCGGTTTGTTTTGTTTCCTTCCCTAATGTAAACATTTTGCTAGTCACCTTGTTTCTGTTATGGATTACAGCATTCTCTAAACCCTAAACCCTAAACACTAAACCCTAATTAAACCCGTTTAGTCATACATGAATATTGAGGATATTCACAACTAACATGCCACATATCCCCTGAGTTGACTGTTGCTTTTCGTATACGGGATTCGTAGGCTGGAGTTATCGAAGAGTTTGTGAACGATGCTGTTGACACTGCCCTAGACACCGAGGATATGGAGGAGGAGATAGAGGAAGAGGTTGATAAGGTATTGACCGCAATAGCAGGAGAGACTGCTGCAGAGTTACCAGACGCCGTCGTGAGGAAGGAGAGGATAAAACTGCCTGCTCAGAAAGCGGGTCCTTCCCGTGAGGTAAGCGACCTCTACTGGTCACATTCTCGTAGAATTCGGAAAACCCATGATTATGATGGCCTTAGGTTAAATGTTTCCAATACCATTTTCTCCATTTTGAAGGCCTAATGAAACAAATATGTGGTTTTCAGGAAGAGGCCATCGCTGAGGGAGTTGATGATGAAGAAGAACTCGAGGAAATCCGAGCTCGCCTCGCGAAAGTTCGATCCTAACTTTTTTTCTACGGCTCCTAAAACTATATTCTTGATCGATTTCCCAAACTCTTCTAACTTGATGGAGAGATGAAAAAACAAGATCATATCTTGTATGTAATGTATGTGTAGAAATTACTTGGAATGTGAAGTTGCTTCTTCTTCATGCCTTACACATATGGATATGTATGTATGCTGAAGTATAGATATCCCATTTTATTATTTAAAATAGATTCAAATTTATGAAAATAAAATGATGAAATTTTATAAATGTGGCTAAAATATTGTAGGTCTAAGTTCTAACATTTACGTTTGCATTAGCTTCTCATATTCTAAGGTTTGCATGTATATTAGACTCACATTGATTCCATTCAAAACCTTAGCTAGGGTTTGTCTAGGCAGCGACCTACAGTGATATTATATATATATATATATATATATATATATATGTTTTGTAACTATGGTGGTCCAAACGTCAAGGTAGCGTAGAGTTTATATATGTATATATAGATGTTGTTGCATTTATGTGGTATAAGTAGAGTTTATATGTATAGATGTGGTTGCATAATTGCATTGACGTGGAATAAGTAGAGTTTATATATGGGTTTTTTATACAAAGATGTGCATTTATGTATATATATATATATAAAGATGTGAATTTATGGGATGCATGTAATAAATTAATGAGCAAAAAGCATATACGCAATGGTGTTCTTGAACATGTGCAAGACGACTTTGCCATGAACTCTCATGTTTATGGTGTGAATAAATTTTGTTCTTTATGCAGAAATTGCGCTTTAATCAAAACCGTTAATAAATAATAAAAATAAAATAAAATGAATAATACATAATACTATTTAAAATAAAATAAAAAAAGAGACCTAAAACTCGGTCGAATTAACATATTATTATCATACTTGGATATTAGGTTTTCTCCTCCAAATAGTTATAATACCAACTATGGAGGACATTTCTATCACTTTATGCAAAATAAACAAAAAAACGTATGACCATATAAATTGAATTTCATCTAAAATTCGATTTGATTTTTTTTAAATTAAATTAATCTAATCGGAATAAAAATTAAATGTATAAATAATGAAAAATAACAAAGGAAATAAAATTCATTTTAAAAAATAGTTTCAACTTATTCAAAAAATATATTCTAGAGCAAATCCGAATTCAATTCGAATCGAACTTAAAATTTGATATAAAAATTAAATATATTTCGTATTTGCAAACCGTGTGTTTTTTTTTTTAATAATTACTCGTAATAAAATGTGCGCATACGTTCTAAAATTTAAACAATGCATATATGTATTTTATCAATAGGTATGCTTTAAATTTGACTGTTTCTTTAACCAATCCGGATTTGTTAACCTAAGACCCTTGAGTTTTAATCAATTATAGGATATATATATATATATATACACACACTCTATCCTAGCTAATTGTTCACTAACCTAATTAAGGATTCGCACTAGAATTTTTAATTGTCTTTATTTGGTTGGATTCTGACGGTTGAGAAATATGTGAAATATGTTGGTAATATTTAGAAAATGATAATAATAATAATAAACGTCTAATTAATCCATTTAGAAATATATGATATTTCTGCAAAGTACGTATCGGAAATTAAGTTTTTGTTTTTCTATTTTGCATTTGTTTGTTAGGGTTGTAAACTCGTGATATGATGTATTTTTTTAGAAACAACGATGAGTGAAGCAACAGATTGGTCGGTCCACGAGGGTGCATAAAAAGGCACATATATTATTTGACATATACTAATGTTTACATCATCTTATTCTATTATTCTTCATTTCAATTTTTTTTTGTGTGTACTAATAAATACTAACTAATATTTTATGAACATATGATAATTCATTTGTTTAAATACGATGCTTAAAGTATAATATCTCATATATAAATAGTTATGTGTGTATATGTGTGTGGCAAGTTTGTAATAAAGAAACGATTTGGACAGATTAAAAAAAAGGAAAAGCAAAGCCAATTAGCTAAGCTAGCACAAAACTACACGTTTCTGTATATGAATTAAATGGAAATTTTACAAAAATTAAGGAGAAAATCATGTATCCATCCCAAATTAATCTGGTTATATATATATAGATATATGTTCATGTATCCATCTCAATTTAATATATGGATTAATATATTCATGTATCCATCTCAATTTAATCTGGTGGACCGAATATTCGTTTAACAGAATTAATCAAGGTTAATGTTCTCGTAAGACATGTGGTTATAATGGGAACGCAATCTGAATCTTGACCTTAAAAGCAAAGAAATATATATCTCAATAATATTTATAATAAATATTCCATTAATTAACGCCATAGAGATATTTTTCAGAAAATGCGTGTCTCTATTACATATATATATATGAAATTCTTAAGATGAAAGTGACAGAAATAAAGTTGGAAAAAATTGACCTTTTGTTTTCATAATTAGAAAAATATTTAAAAAATAAAAATAAAAGTAGGTTTTCCGCTCGTCTTTAAATTTTATTTTTTGACACAGATTTGTTGGCTAAGTACACGAACGAACCAACTATAAATACCCTCTTCGGCCCCATCCCCCAACCATTCCTCAACACATTCGTAAAAAAAAATATCTCAAATCCCACAACAAAAAATGACAAAGCACATGAACTCCACAACGTTCTTTCTCTCATTCCTCCTCTGCGTTTCCTTCATCTCTTGTTTTCACCCCGCAACTTCCCGAACGATCACAAACAACCCCTTCTCTCCCTCTGCGAATTCACCCAAGCTTATGGCGGAGAAGCTTATCAAATCCTTCAATTTGATGCCTGAGCGTGATGTTAACATCGTCCCGGAAGACGTAGCCCAATCTCTGAGGCTCGTGGAGAGAGAAATCGATTTTCCGGCGACTTTTGCTGGAGAATCCGCCGCCGATGTCCCGACGGTGAAGGAGTACGGTCACCATGCTGGCTACTACAAACTCCCACACTCAAAGGCCGCAAGGTAAGTGAAAAGAAAATTAGTCAACTGGGCCCTGCTAAACCGGAAACGAATACCCTAAACCGAGATTAAACCGGTTTAGAATCACGTTCCGTAGATCAATCCGGTTCTTCGACTTTCACGATATTGATACCTAGCTTTGAAAGCCCCAAAACGCAGATTAGAGTCGCTCGGATCTGAATATCGGTTCCGTTGACAAACCCGGTTTACTCAATTGTCTCTTAACCATAATTTCTGAAATCGAATAAAAGAACCAAAGATTGCGGGCTTGTTTGAATCAGCGGTTGTTACAGATGATCGGGTTCCGGTTCTTTTCGGTATTTGTCTTGACCGGTTTAGTGTTCGATTTTGACAGGATGTTCTATTTGTTCTTCGAGTCCCGGAGCAACAAAACAGATCCTGTGGTGATTTGGCTAACCGGCGGGCCCGGTTGCAGCAGCCAACTCGCTCTGTTCTACGAGAACGGACCGTTCAATATCTCGAAAAACTTGTCTCTTTCTTGGAACGACTTTGGTTGGGACAAGGTTGGTTAGAAAATCTCGAACCGAATCGATTTCTTGTGACACAAGCAACATCTCAACAACCTTATCTCTACATTGACCATTCTCTGAATTTTTCTTCTTAGGCCTCCAATCTGATCTACGTGGACCAACCGGTCGGGACCGGTTTTAGCTTCACCTCGGATGACAGTGATCTCCGACACGACGAGGATGGTGTGAGCAATGACTTGTACGATTTTTTACAGGTAGGGTTTTACTCTATTTTCTTCGAAAAAATTTTATAAACTGTTTAAAGAAATCAAGAATTCATTCGGGTTTTTTTTCCACGTAGGCTTTCTTTAAAGAGCATCCGCAATTCGCGAAAAACGACTTCTACATAACCGGAGAATCTTACGCCGGGCATTATATACCGGCATTGGCATCTAGGGTTCACCATGGAAACAAGAACAAAGAAGGAATTCATATCAATCTCAAGGTATGTATCTGTCCATGGTTTTGGATTTACTTTCTAATCACATGATTTACGGGTTATTGAAACGGTTTAGCCGGCCGGTTTAACTAGGGTTTTGCGATCGGTAACGGCTTAACCAATCCCGAGGTGCAATACGGTGCGTACCCCGATTACGCTCTTGATATGAAGTTGATTACAGAATCCGATCACGAATCCATCAAGAAACTATACCCTGATTGTCAACGAGCTACTAAAGAATGTAGTAAGCATATATTAATTCTAAATCTCGACTATTTTCGATTTAAACGTTTTCGTTTTCGTAAAATTTTCGATCTTTTTTGTGAACCGTCATTTGTAATTCATTCTAGATACCGATGGTGGCGATGCTTGTGCCAATGCTTACTATGTCTGCAACGAAATCTTCGACAATATCTTAGGAATCGCGGGAAGTGTAAATGTAAGTAAACAAAAACAAAATTTATCGTTCATTTCAATCGATCAGATCGGATTTGTTATCGTTTAATTTTCTTTTGTTGAAGTATTACGATGTGAGGAAACAATGCCAAGGAAACTTGTGCTACGATTTCTCGAGCATGGAGACGTTCTTGAACCAGAAATCGGTAAGGAGCACCTTGGGAGTGGGAGATATCGAGTTCGTGTCGTGCAGTTCGACGGTTTATGATGCAATGCGGAATGATTGGATGCGAAATCTCGAGGTCGTGATCCCGGAACTTCTCGAAGACGGCATCGAGCTCCTCGTTTACGCCGGAGAATATGATCTTATCTGCAATTGGCTCGGTATGATCTGATCTTTTCTACATTAACCCGTTCTTTCATGAACTGAATAGATTCGGTTTTGGTTCAGTCGGTTCAGGTTCCAGTTAACTCAAATCCGAAAATCAAAACTGTTGTTAACACTTCAATCTCAGTCCGGTTCTGAAATAGGAACCGGTTGGTAAAATTTCTAAATTTTAATTTGTGGTTCAGTTCTAGACCCGGTTCTTGTCTGTCCGGTTTATTAAGATTATTTTCACATGTTCCGGTTCTATCCAGTACCGGTTTCCGGCTGAGATCAATTGCTTAATTTTATTTTTGTTGTTGAATAGGAAACTCGAAATGGGCTCACCAGATGGAATGGTCCGGGCAGAAAGGTTTTGGTTCGGCTAAGATGATTCCGTTTCTGGTAGACGGTACAGAGGCCGGTTTAATGAAGAACCATGGTCCACTCACTTTCCTCAAGGTAAATGTTTAAACCGAAAACTAAACCGGTAAAAATTATCGGTACAATTGCAAAATAAATCGAATTGATTTTTTTTGGGAACAAAGGTTCACGACGCAGGACACATGGTTCCGATGGATCAACCAAAGGCTTCATTGCAAATGCTGCAGAATTGGATGCAAGGAAAACTCGGTACGACCCAAGGCCGAACCGCTCCACAGTAACTAAATACCGTACCGAACTGGAGATTTTTATATCTTAATATATGTTAAAATAATAATTTTCGTTTCGAATATAAGTAATTTATTTTAATTTTGTTTAATTTAATGTTCAAGTCGCTGTGATTATGTAAAGAAAAAATTACTTCTCAAAACTCAAAAGTTTGGTTAGTTTTTTTTTACAGTCCTTGTGTTCTTGAAAAAAATGGGTTTTATTTTATGCAATGAAATTGAAAATTAGTTTAATTATTATAATTTTTTTAATTGTTTCCATTTTTAATCTAATAGAGCCCGATATTGACCGGCCAAACCGCTCGGCCGAAAACCCGGTCCGTGTTGTAGTTTTGATCAAAAGGGTATTTTAGTAAATTCGGGTTTTCCGTGGAAAATCTGGAAAATCCCCAAAATCTCGCGCATCTCACAGCATATAATACGTGACGTCATCAATTCGTCATTTGTAATCTCAGCCATGCATTCAAGTAAATTGAATTCCACACTAATCTGATACAAATGGACTTTTCTCAGCACGTGATTGTATACGTACAACAATAATTATACGTATATATACAAAGCCATCTTTTAATTACCAATCGTCGAGAAACTGTGATGGAAAAATATAAAACGGCCCACATTATTAATTTTATATTAAGATACGTATTATATGTTAAAATTAATTTAAATTAAAAATATATGATTGAGAGGCTTGGTTTAACAGCCTGGAAAAACTTTAAATTATTCTTGTCCAATTTAGTTTGCCAACCGTTGAGGAAAAAACGAGTTTCGGACACCGAGAGTCAAACGAGAAAAAGACTCTTGTCTTTTTGGTAATTCATCATCCAATCATGGTTTGACTCCAATTATATTAATATGCTATTATTTAAAATGATTATAGCATGCATTTATTTAAAATTTTATTTAAATGAAGAATAGAATAAGCTCGAGGTGAGAACCAAATCTAAAAACAATATCTTTACACAAGTTCGGGACAATTTTATGCAATATCATTCAAATAAAATCGAATTATATATGCAAGTTTTTGAGATCCAAGGATTTATGGGATTGTATAATATTATCATGTGGACGTAATAACAAGCAAACAGGAGAACATCATAATCAAAAGGTTGGGTACAGAAAATATTTGTTGTGTAAGAGGTGACACACGAAATATATTTAATTGTATTGGAAACAAATATTTATGTGGGCCAGAATATTTTATTTTTTAAAAGAAATATATATTTATAAATTCCTAGAGCAAAGGCAACTAATTCCGATTTGTTTCCCGCTTATGCTTATACGATTCCCATTTTTTGTCCTCTATATATATGTATGTACATTGAACATGGCCACAACTTGAAAAATAGCCAGAACGTATATGGGTTTTTATAACTTACAATTTAATTCAAGATATATGACACCAACAAGATTTCTAACGAATATTAATAACCAGAAACGGTCCAAGCCGAATAAAAAAATAATAATTACAATTTCTAGCAGTTCTTTTGAATTTTTAATGTAAATTCTAATGCACACACGTATAGTGATCGTGTACGCGTATATACGTGTGCTTGCGTGCATGTATGTGTACGAGAGAGAGAGAGAGAGAGAGAGAGAGAGATGTCTCGAGCATATAACTTTGTGTGGAAAATTGAAGAAAGTACCCTCACAAATCTGGAAACGTTTGTTTGGCCATATATACACAATACATATACATGTATACATACGTATACATAATATATATATATACACATACACACAAGGGAAATGAGTGTATCTGTGTGTGCGTCACAAGTGCTCATATATAGGCATGTAGTTTAAATGCCAGCAACAGTATATCTATACTTACACACACACACACACATTGATGGGTCAATAGGTGATGAGTTGATCAGTCAGTCCAAAAATACACCTGATGAATTCCTCATATAATGCAATATATATACATATATACATATATATAATAAAATAGTTGCATGCATGCATGTGTCCATCAACGTGAACACATGAATAATTATGAGTTTTGGCAGTTTTTTATTACTAAATGTAATAATGGAAACAACATTGGTAAGTCAACTCGTTATGATACGTTTCTTCCTGAAACTTCACTAAAATGGATGTTTTTTTTTGTCACTTACAAATCAGACACTCCTAATGTTCATTGGTCCGACCACTGCAACCTCTTCTCATTTCCACGTTCTCCTCCTTTATCCGTGTATCTACATGCATGGGCTGTGATTTTATTTTATTTTTGTAACCATTTTTTTTTAAATTTTGTTCACTTTATGTGTATTACAATAAGTGCAATATATAGCTTCAAGCTCAAATATAATTACATCTTTATAATACTGTAATCGGCTAATTAATCAATACAAGAATCCAATGCTCATCTCGCATGTGACTATACAAAAATCCAACTAGAAGCAGACACCCTCAACGGCGGCAGCAGCCGAAGTAGAAACCCTAGTTTCGTTTTTTTTTTTATTTAGATTTTTTGTTAGATTTTAAACTCTGATTCCATACTAAAAATGTTGACATATTTAAATTTCATTACGGGACGCAATATGGAAAATATAAAAACCAAAATAGCCATCGTAACTAGAAAACATAAAATATTTATGTGTAAATCTATAATAAAACTTACTACATAAATCTGTGTATCTGGAATCATGCATGTCTATTGTCTAGAATATGAGATTTAAAAAAAAAATTAATGAGGATGTATAGAAACTTCTAAAGCTCTAAAGTAATTTCCTAATAAACTCCTCGTGTAATTGTCAGCAAACCTAACGTGCGGAATGGATTTATATATATATATATATATATATATATATATAGAAATTGAAAAAAAATATATTTGAAAACAGAGAAGAGTATGCATGCATGTCAATCATGTTGACTTCACAAGCATACCCTTTGAGACATATATATATTTTTTTTATTAAAATATAACATTATTACTACTAATATTCCACGAATAATGCAAAGGTGTGTCCAAGTCCGAGTTGCTTATTAAAATGGTACTTATAATTCAACCACTCCCCCTCAACAGAAAGTCCATTTTATAAAGCGAATAGATAGACGCTTCTTGGATTCTCTAACTTCAAAAACAACCCGAGTAGAGAGAGAGAGAGAGAGAGAGAGAGAGAGAGAGAGAGAGAGAGAGAGAGATGGGGAGAGCTCCATGTTGCGACAAGACAAAGGTGAAGAGAGGTCCTTGGTCTCCCGAGGAAGATTCAAAGCTTAGAGATTACATAGAGAGATTTGGAAATGGTGGTAATTGGATCTCTCTCCCTCAAAAAGCCGGTAAATCTCCATTATCCGCAGTCACTAACCTTCGGATTTACGTATACGTACGAATTATGACGTATATATGTAAACTCACAAAAATGTTATTTTTTTGTCTGTCTTTAAGGTTTGAAGAGATGTGGAAAGAGTTGCAGATTGAGATGGCTAAACTATTTGAGACCGAACATAAAACATGGAGATTTCTCAGAGGACGAAGACAGGATCATCTGCAGCCTCTTTTCTGCCATTGGAAGCAGGTTCTCCACTTCTTCTTCATTTTTTTCACAATTTCCACATGCATTAGTATTCAGAAAAAAAAAATGATTTCATATATATTTTAACCACAAAATTGTTTATTAATTACCGGCTTTCCCCATATTTGTATTGTGAATTTTTTATTTATTTGAATATATAAGATTTGCACGAGACACATCCAAACGTTATTGGTTCATTAATTCATGGCTAATTTTATATCATGCACATGAAATGCTTTACAAACACATTCAGATTTAGCCGTATGGTAATATTATTATTATATTCAATATTATATATGTAATGTTCCGAAATTTTCGAGCACGTCACAATCTTTTTTCTAGTCCAAAGGAATAACTGTTTATGATAAAAACAAGGATTAATAATGTTAGTCAAAACTGGGTGCACTCATTTTCTTTCACCTTGTTCAACAGTAGAGTGTTCATATTTTCCGACATTAATTGCCGATACATACACACATATATAGATACATGCATATGATATACGGATGTATACATGAACATGTACGTAGGTGGTCAATAATAGCAGCTCATCTACCGGGAAGGACAGACAACGACATCAAGAACTATTGGAACACCAAGCTCAGGAAGAAACTCATGGCTGCTTCTTCTTCTTCATCAGCGGATTCAATGGCTTCTTTATCTCGTCAAAACCCTAATCCCCATCACAACGTGAAAAACTCGCCAACGATCTCGACTTATCAGCATCATCCATATGATCAAACTCATGACAAGAACCCACCCAAATCTCAAGTGTCCTCTGATGGCTTTGACCAGATATTGCCCATTAACCCTGTCATCAGCGTCAACCCACCAAGTTTCTTGGACAGTAACATCAACCACTTCGAGGATAGTACAGCTAGTTTCCTGATGAACTACTACAACCCCATGTTTCATCACTACAACGACGTCAAAGACAACAACAACAACAGCAGTTTGATCATGTCAAGCGATCAGCAGAGCTGTAGTTCCTCAGAGAATGGAAGCCAACATCATGGAAGGAGAGAGATTCATGATGTCATCAATCAAGATCATCATCAAGTCGACGTCCAGTGCTTTGGTGGGTACAACGTGACGACTTGCTACGAACACGAACATGGACATGAAAACCAGGGTCAGATTCAAAAGGGAAGAGGGTATTTCGGGGAAATCACGGAGATGGAGAAAGAGTATTACTGTTACGGGCTTGGGGATTTGAAGCAAATGATTAGCACTAACATCGGCGGTTCTTCAAGTGGCTTAAGCAACGTAGCTGAGAACAAAAGTTGCCTGCAACAAGACAAGATGGGTATGCCCTATCTCTACTGATAACCTAATAGACCCTCTTGTCTTTGTTTGGTTTTTTTAAATAATCTGTGACTGACTGTTAGTAACATCAGTGAGATTTGATGGGGTATGGCTTTGTTTTTGGGAAAAGAGAGAGGGAGAGAGAGAGAGAGAGAGAGAGAGAGAGAGAGAGAGAGAGAGAGAGAGAGAGAGACTATGATCAGTTTTATGGGATTCTGTGTTTTGTTTGTCTTTTGGACATTAACGATGAGAAGGTTTTCTTTCTAGTCGAGAAGGAGAGTGATGAACTCCTAAAGTAGTTCTACGAGATATGTACTTGTTGGTTGAAGAATGGAAATGTTATCCCCCTTTTCTTGGAAAATCGATTTACATGTTAATTAATTATCATTATTATCACAATTAGTAAATTGAGCTGCTAAAATAATTTCATTTACACGTTCCATGCAATATTTTGTTTCGTACATATATATATATATATGTCTAATTTAGATAAACTAGTATTATATGTAACCATTAGATTAAATATAATTACATAAATTTCATGTCGATTCTTACTAATCCACGACATAAACATGATATATTTGTTACTATCGATTCATCATTATTAATCTATATAAATATTGTGTCCATTTTCAAATAACAGACTTAAATTTGCATATTCATTTAATTTTTTATAATTGATATAAAACCTAACATCCATTCTCGATATAATAGACATGACTTTGCATATATATGCTAGTGTCGGTTCACTGTAGTTAACATAAACTTTGCATTGATTCTCAATAATAGATACTTTATATATATAATATTAGCATCTGTTAATCATAATCTGTATGGGTCAAATAAATATAACCAAACCGAAAATACTAAATATGATTGAAAATTAAAAAATAATATTAAAATGATACCAATGATCGCATGGATTAACGAAATTTCCCCCTTTTTCTTTCGTATTTTTAAATGATTTTTAGATAGTTTAATTAGAGACAATTAAAATATATTTTGGTCTAACGCAATTATAATTTTAACTTGTATAATTATTATTGTCTTAGTTTTCGGGTTAATAATTGATGATGTCCATAGATAATGAATAATCCGATTGTAAATGTATATCTCCCAAAGATAAATGGATGGATATCTTTATGTTTCTTACGTATTTCAGCTGAAGCACCCCACTAGTAGAAAATTATTTTTTATAGGACCACCTACATATAGATATTATTTATGACCTATACATATCAGAACTTTATTAATATGTATATACGTATATACACGCACTGTACGTCGTCTGTATAAAACTCATATATGTATACACACAGTTATAATCTGATTTTCTCAATTATAAAAATGTATATATTAAAAAATGGGATTGTGTATAAAAGTCATCACCCTTTGGGGAGTGGCTCAAGCAGCCATGGAAAATTGATTGATGGAATACCATGCATCAGTGCGAAAAGACATCTGTACCCCTACGTTGTTTTTTTTTTTAAATTCCTTCTGAAAATTTATTATTTTCTTCACGAAAATAGGTAATTTTATTTTAGGATTTGGAAGATATACGTAATTTTATTTCTAGGGTAAACCTGGAGATCCATGCATATTGTTGGTATGTTTTTATGGAACCTAGGCAACTTGAATATTTAATATTTCTGATATGAAATGGAGTTAGGGCGACCATTTTGATTGGATTATGTAAAATTGAACTAAATAATTGATTATTGTATTTGGACTGAATTTGATATGATCATCTAATAGGTTGATTTCTTTCAAACAAAAAATTCAAAACCGTATCCAATCATCATCATCATCATCATCATCATCATCATCATCATCATCATCATCATCATCATCTTCAAGAATGAGTTTAACACCATTGTTCCTCAAGGAATTAACAATGGCCCCGGCTCTTGGAACTTTCTTTTTGAATTTCTTTATCGATTAGAAAGTTCATAAGAGATCATCGATAACCCGGGAAAGAGCTCTTGTGTTCATGATCATGACCATGATCATCATCTTCAAGAATGAGTTTAACACCATTGTTCCTCATGGAGTTTACAACGGCCCATACCTTAGTTCGGTTCTTGAAACCTTTCTTCTCGATCTCCTTGTTGACATCGACGTGGATGCCTCGTCCTTGCCCGTCTTGGAGTCCTTCCACTCTGAGCCGCATGGCTAAGACCTCTCCCACGACGGCTGCTGCCTTTGCATTGCACGTTCGGCCACACTCTAGCGAGTTCTTGATCGCGTGCTCGACCGTTGAGGCTGTTGCAACCACTCTTCCGTGGTTTCTGTCCACTACATTCGCCGTTATGTACTTAATTGACATGAATAGCCTCAAGACATATCTTTTAAGCACCGTCATTGCTTCCAAGAACCTGAACCAAGAAAACGTTACTAGAAATTGCGAGAGAAGAGCCTAAACCGAGGAGCATCTTGTCCCAAACTAGATGAGTCTGTTTTGAATCTTATATAACCGGCAGCAGTTAAGAAGCTAAACAAACATTTTAGACGAGTATCCATTTCTAGTTCACTAATGGCTATTGCAACACTGCCACACATCTATCACTCCATTGTCGATACTTTCAGATTCCCCGTATCTGGAAACTGGATTACAATCTATCAATAAGAAAGCCTTATCCACAAACATAACATTGGCATATGAAAATCAACCAGTAAGAATCACAAACACTAGAGAGAAGCTAACAACTAAGTAAACATTTCCTTCAGTCATTCCATAGCAACCGATGAAACAAGATACACAATAGTTATATAAGCAGTAACCAAACTGGGAATCATGAGGAGAAGATGAAAAAGGAACATGAGAGATGACAATATAAATGCTTGTTAGACATTCATATCAAGCAGAAGAATCAAAGCGAGAAGATCCGGGCAATGATGCTTACCACTACAAAAACATAAAGTATGCCCAAGAAAATGGATTATCATAGCAGAAATCTGGCATAAGACAAGCTGTTATTGCTGTGTCATCGTCAAGGAAATGATGCACGGCAAAAAAAAAAAAGAAACTTTGACTTGTCTCACATGAAAATACAGGAAGATGGACGGTAACGCACGAGAGCTGATCGCATAAAATTACCAGAAAACGTTCAAAATGTGAACGCTTACGTCAAACGCATACAAGAATCTCCTCAACATCTATTGTTCTCAACAAGGCGAACTGCGAGTCCTTGAAAAAATCTTGCAACACCACATTACGTTCAAGCCAACGAAACAAACCCAAGAAACAAAACATACCCAGATACTTAAATCACGAACATACACAAAGAAGCATGCGAAGATCCATCACAGGCATCTCTAAAGAGCTTATATAAATGAGAAAAGCGTGGCAAGGATTTCACTTTGGCAAATTATCAAACACCTTGCGTGCAATACGCATTCAAAAGAAATCAAACAAAAAGTACACTACAAAGAAGAGCTTTTCTCACCTTCGAACACAGAAACTCAGCCCGTCATAAAATTTTTCCTCTTTAAAAAATCCTGTCCCAAACAAGCGTTGTAGATTACCCAGCAGAAGTTTTTTTTTTTTTTTATACCGATTACCGTTATAGGAAAAAAAAAAGGATAAGAACGAAGACAAGGGGACCTATACCCGAATATAATTGGACCACAAGTTGAGAAAAGGCCCAATAAAGGGTCCATATTATTTAGGCCCAATTGAAACGACGCCGTTTCATTTAGTATAGTATGTTCCAATACGCAACTTGGAAAGTAACTCAGCCCCGCACACGTGGCATAACGTGGAGTGTCGTCGCCTATAAATACGTCTTCTTCCCATTCGGTTCTTCACATGTTGGGAATCCATCATCTCTTAACCCTAATTCCGAATAAGAACTGAGGACGGCCACCGAAAACCTAGATCTCCAGATCTCCCGAATCTAACAGGTAAATATCTGGATCCTCTCACGGTTCCCGCATCTGTTTGCGTTGTATTCGAAAATTCTCGATTTTGATTTTGTTTGTTTCGCTACCGGTTATTCGGCGATCGATTTCGTTTTCGTTTCGGCGGTGGATGGTGTTAGGGAGCAAGAAGATGGTGTCTGACGCTAGCAAGAAGAAGGCAGCTCAGAAGAAGGCTGCGGCGGCCGCAAAAAGAGGCGGCAAGGCTGCGGCGGCTACTAAAGCGGCTGCGACTGCTGCCTCGGCTTCGAACGGAGTTGATAATTTGTCGAATAGCGTCGAGTCCCTTCAAATATCTGATCGGACGTGCACCGGCGTTCTGTGCTCGCATCCACAATCTAGGGATATTCGGGTAAATCATCTGTGGAGTTTCTGTGATCTAAATGTTATGTTTTACTCTTTTCGTCATTGATTGCTTGCAATGGCTGTTTGTTCGATCTAGATGTTGCCCTTGTATTAGGAATTGTGACCGTAGACAAATAAAGGTAGTTGGCTCTTGTCTCCAAATATGATGCATATTTCAGGGATGATGGATAATCAAGGGGTGAGATTTGGTCTTGCTTCTGGGTTTTCTGATTTTCTATTCTCTCTTGAATAAGTTGGTTGTTAATCGTCCAGTGTTTCTGTGTTGGTCGATTTATCTGCTATACTATGATGGTAGAGATCGTTTTTCCATTGCTTGGGTGACTTTTGTGGTCATTTTTTGCTACCATGTTTGGTTACAATTTTTGAGTGCATCTTGTGTTTTGGTTTCTAAGTGTTACAGATATTTATGGAGGGCTTCTGACCTTTTAACTCTTCTTCTGCAGATAGAATCTCTCTCTGTCACGTTCCATGGTCACGATCTCATTGTTGATTCAATTTTGGAGCTCAACTATGGGAGACGTTATGGTTTGCTTGGGCTGAATGGTTGTGGGAAGTCCACACTTTTATCTGCAATAGGGTGCAGAGAGCTGCCAATTCCTGATCATATGGATATCTACCATCTCACCAGGGAGATTGAAGCTACTGACATGTCCTCGCTTGAGGCTGTCATTTGCTGTGATGAAGAGAGATTGAAGTTGGAGAGGGAAGCAGAAGCTTTGGCTGAACAGGTTTGTTTAAACAACTAAATACTTTATTCTGATGTTTATGTGCCTTTTTCCAGGTAGATGCTTACTCCGGTTATGTCATTGCTTTCCCATCTTCAGGAGGATGGGGGTGGAGAACTTCTTGACCGAATCTATGAGCGTCTAGAAGCTATGGATGCTTCTACCGCAGAGAAGCGTGCTGCTGAAATCCTGTATGGTCTTGGTTTCGACAAGAAAATGCAGGCAAAGAAAACAAAAGATTTTTCTGGTGGATGGAGAATGCGAATTGCATTAGCAAGAGCGCTTTTCATGAACCCAACAATCCTTTTGCTTGATGAGCCGACTAATCACTTGGGTAAGTATTGTGACTCCGGTTATGGTGCTACTTCTGTTGGTTTTCCTATTGCAACCTTCTGTAATTGTTGCAAATGTTGGTGTTAACTGAGATGCTGTTGTCATCTGCTACAGATTTGGAAGCCTGTGTCTGGTTGGAGGAGAGTCTCAAGAAGTTCGATCGTATTCTTGTTGTGGTGTCCCACTCACAGGATTTCTTGAATGGGGTCTGTACAAACATTATCCACATGCAGAGCAGGATACTGAAGTACTACACTGGTAACTACGATCAGTATGTTCAGACCCGTTCCGAGCTTGAAGAAAACCAGATGAAACAGTACAGATGGGAGCAGGAGCAGATTTCGCACATGAAGGAATACATTGCTAGGTTTGGTCATGGTTCAGCTAAGCTTGCTCGTCAAGCACAGAGTAAGGAGAAAACCCTGGCGAAGATGGAGCGAGGTGGACTGACGGAAAAGGTGGCGAGGGATAAGGTTCTCGTCTTCCGTTTTGTTGATGTCGGGAAGCTTCCTCCACCCGTGCTCCAGTTTGTGGAAGTCTCGTTCGGGTACACCCCCGACAATCTCATTTACAAGAACCTCGATTTTGGAGTCGACCTGGACTCGAGGGTTGCACTGGTGGGACCCAACGGTGCCGGGAAGAGTACCCTTCTGAAGCTAATGACAGGTGAATTGACGCCAACCGATGGAATGGTCAGGCGTCACAACCATCTAAGGATTGCTCAGTACCATCAGCACTTGGCTGAGAAGCTCGACATGGAAGTGTCTGCGCTTCAGTACATGATGAGAGAGTACCCGGGCACGGAAGAGGAGAGGATGAGGGCGGCGGTGGGGAAATTCGGGCTGTCGGGGAAGGCGCAGGTGATGCCGATGAAGAATCTGTCGGACGGGCAGAGGAGCCGAGTGATATTTGCGTGGCTAGCGTACAGGCAGCCGCAGATGCTTCTGCTGGACGAGCCCACAAACCATCTGGACATAGAGACGATAGATTCGCTGGGGGAGGCGTTGAACGAGTGGGACGGAGGATTGGTATTGGTGAGTCACGACTTTAGGCTGATAAATCAGGTGGCGAATGAGATATGGGTGTGTGAGAATCAGGCCATCACCAGATGGGAAGGTGACATTATGGATTTCAAGGAGCACCTCAAGCAGAAAGCTGGCTTATCCGAATGAAACTGATGGTGCACAAAAAACCCTCTTCTTCTTTTGAGTTATGAAGCAAAGGAAGAATATCAGAATGCATCATCCGCCCAAGAGAGGATGATTGTCGTAGAGCTGTTTACTGCCTCTCTGCCCTTTTTGGTCGTTTATGAGGTCAGAGGTTTTTGTTGGTGTTTCTTTTTTTTAAAAAAAAAAATCAATTGGAATTTTTTTGGAGAAGGTCGAGATACGGACAAGTGGGATGTTGTTAGACTCGAGTTTATAACACATTTATTATTATTACTAGGAGAGACCCACGCGATGCGTGGGTTATATTTTTAAAATGTATATTGATTATTTTTTATAAAATTTATTAATATGAATATTGTTAAAAATTGATATAAATTATTTATTTAATATATGAGAAATATATTAATTAAATTAAATTATTATACAATCATCATTACATGGTATATTGTTATATTATCATATTAAAGAAGTTAAGTTTTTGGGAAAAAATGTGTCATCCATATTTCAAATCAGATTATCAGTCCTATTCTAGATCACAATTTTGCCAACGTAGTGCATTGTTTTATATTGCATGTTGAAATGTTATAGACATTTAATGAGATTTTGAATCTTTAGTAAGTTATTCTACCATTGAATTAAATCAGTGTTGCAATACTTGATGATGTCACAGAAAGATCCTTTTTATGATGATATAATGAGAAATACAACCATTTTCGCTATCGTGGCATTGAAATTATTGTTCTTTTTTAAAATATTTTCCTCGTTCAATATATGTTCTATACGGTAGAATCTATAATTGCATCGTACATCGTATAATATTTTTTTTTTCATTCAAATAGGCAAATAGTTTTAGATGTTTTTCTTTCTCCCATAGTTGATAAAACTGCAATTTTTCTATTAACTGAACATGTTTGATTTGACAAAAAAATAATAAAATAAAGACATTATAAGATTAATTATTGTAAAATGATATATTAAAAAAAACAAAAAAATTATAAAATATTAATATCATTGTATAAATTGTGTATGAGATCGATAATAATGATTTATTGAAAAAAATAATTCTAAGGTAATATTAAAAATACTATTACTAAATGTTATAGTTAGCGTTTGTTTTAAAAATAGTTAAAATTACATATTTATAACTTAATGATTAGTTTAAATTTTCAAAAATAAAAATATAACACTTATAAATATATTAATAAATAATAAGAATGTATAAAATATACATATGTATATATATGCACATATATATACCACGACCTGGATTATATATATATTTATTTATTTAATTAGAATTTGTTTCACATGATAATGATGATATGTTTTTTTCAGTATAGCAATCTATTAAATAAAGGTGTTATAACGAATGTAAATTTGCAGTAAATTTTAAAAAGTTTATATATTTTTGTAGAAATTTTAAAGTTCGTTCGTAACCTTATACACACAAGACGACCTAGGATATACCTCTACATCTAGATACTTGTTTTTAATCACAAGATCTGTTGTCCTCATTACCGATCTGAAATTGTAGAGATGGATCGCTGGAATTACACTTTCGTTCACCTCGACCATGATCGAGAATGTATGATGTGTCTCCGGTATCTGAGATCTTCTCCATCTGTATATTTATAATCTTTCCTGAACGTTTTGGACGTGTTCTTCTTTCCTCGAGCCGTGAGGTCAAAACCGAAGCACCAGTTCTTCATTCCATTTCCGGTGGAAGACATTGATAACATCGAATCTATATCATCTACGCATGAAATATTTTCGAAGAATCTCACCATCCACTCCATTTGAAGTTTCTCGAATGTCTATTGTATTTTTCGATCAGAAGAAGTGTTGCCAAATTTACATATACAATTCGTTAAAGAAAACATAAATCTTGAGAGGAAACATCAAAAAACAGAATAGAAAAATAAAAATAGAAAGATAGAAAATATATATTACCATAAATTATGATGGGTTCTGCAGCATATTGATTTTTTATCCGATGTTTTTGCTGTTTATTCTTGGAAAATACAGTAGACTCTTGCAAGTTAATACTAATGTGAAAAGAATAATAAATATGGTTATTAGTAGAAAATACATTATAGAGTCTTGCACGTCGTTTCTTTTAATTTAATTTAATAATTACTCACTAAATATCATTAATACAATAAATTAAATTATGATTTTGAAGTTTTTTATAGTTCAAGACCGTTTTCTTTTCTCTACTATATAGAAAACTTTTTTTTTAATTATAATAATCTATTAATATTTTTTCTACTAAAGATTAGAATAAATTTTTTTTATAATAAATATAAACTTAAAATTATAACAAATATGACCATTTAGTTGTTATATTCAATAAAAAAATACAAACTAAATATTCTAATCATATACATTTATATATTTTATTAATTTTTCTTATAATCTTATTTTGGATTCATCATTTCGCTATTTTTAAAATTTTTCATTTAATTTATATAATTTTATTTTGCACTAATCATTTTTATATTTTGTAAATTTCTCATTTAATTCTACCATAATTTTTTTCATAACCAATTAAAATTAAACAAAATGTCATATAGGATACTTAGGCGACTTCACCAGAAGCCTCCAAATCCATACAATTAGTATACATATATATATATATAATAATCTACCCACCTATCATGTTGCTTATTTCTCGTCCTCTTGTATACACATATATATACACATTCATATACAAACATATATATTTATATATATATATAAATATACATAAATACACATATACTTATATACATATATATACAAATACATCGTTATATATATATATTTATACATACATATACATGTATATAAATATATACATGCATACATATATATACGTATATTTAGTTTGTCTTTTTATCGAGTTTTTTAAATTAATATTGATTTTGTATATTTTAACATAATATTTTATTTTTTTATCAAAATAATTTACTTTGATTTAATATTTTTTGGATTTTAAGATCATTATTTTCATTGATTTAGGGATCCGCATATTCTCCTTGATAAAATCAGCAATTCGGTTTTTCACTTAACTTTTTTTTTTGCTTCACTTAGAATTCCAGAACCCATGTAAAGGATATAAATTCTGCACACCCTAGTCGGATCCAACTATCTGAATGTTTCTTCCTGTTGCAATAGTTGGAGGTTTAAAACAAATATGACCAATTATAAATCAATTGAAATTTGAATAATATGAATATCACCACCATTAAAAATAGGAAGGAACAAATATTATTCCAACGACAGGTCAGAATTGACGGACATTAGAGTATCAATGGCACAGTTGAGAATTGACATAATGTGTGCGTTTTTTTGAAGGGTGTTTGATTCTAAGAATTTTTTTTTGTTATGTTATTTTTATAAGAAGAACCAATTGTATAAGATGGTGCGACAAACCCACGTACCATAACATTTAATAAATATGTTTTATCCCACTAAATGTAATCCATGATATTGCAATAACGCATGAAGTATATTTGTTGGTGACTATCTATAAAATATTAAATTTTTTTCCACACAATCTGTTTCTTTTATTTTGTATAATAAAAATAACTTGTATTTTTTAATTATATAAAATAAAAATCTCATTAATATACAAAATAAAAACCAACATAATATTTTATATAATAAAGATCAACTTTTTTCCATCTACTTTAATGCAATCAATGATCGTTTATTTTACTTATATACTAAAGATGAAATTTTGACTTTTTTTTAATTATAACTATCTATTGATATTTGACATTTGCATATCTATCAATTCAAATTTTGTATATAATGTTTTTATTTTGTTATATTTATAAAAATAAAATGATGAAAATAACAAATATATTTTAAATATAATATATAAAATTAATGATAAATCATTAAACTAATGATAAATCACCTCAAAATTTTTATGTGATATTTTATTTTGATAATTTTATTAAGATAAAAGCATCAAGGTTAAAAAACAAAATTTTAAGATATAAATATAATTGGTAAAATCAATTACGTCATGTAACATTTATTCAAAAACCTTATTTTGCTACTTAAGTCGAAAATATAATATTATATTAAAAACATATAAATACAATTTCTTTGAAGAATGCAAAAGGTTATCAGATATTTTCCAATTTGAACAAACTCATATAATAATTAATTTTGGGCACCCGTTTTTTTTTCACTAATGGGTCATTGGATACTCTTGGAGTGAAAAAAATAAAAAAAAAATGATAGAAGGCTAATTTTTTTCAGAAATTTTGTATTTTTTATATAAAAATATAAAATACATATTAGATAGATAAAAATAAAATATGAACCGCCACAAATTTCGATATAAAACCGATTGAAGTAGATTTTTACAAAATTCGAATCCGAATGAAATTGGAAGTTAGAACATAGAAATTCAAATGTCTCGAAATATGCAGCACGATAATAACCCAAAATATAGGGCATCTGTATAATATTATATTGCATATTGTTTTTGTTTACAATAAAGATTAGAAATTTTTCAAAATCCTCTAAGTCACTCCCACACATGCACACAGACGGTAAAAAAATACCAATCTTGAAGCAGTTGAACATCTTCTGGAGAACTGAAAAGAAATCAAGGTAGCTTTTATACGTCTTGAGATCGATGTTCCTCCAGTAAGGAGCACGTTCCATGCTTACCTTCACGTACAAGCAAGAAGGTATCGATCATTTTTCTCGCAAAATCAAATTGAGATCTCGGGTTTTTCTTTATTGAGGGTTTTACTTGTTCCACCCCCAGGATCAGTTGTCTATGAGCCAATGTCATAGCACGAAAGCAGCTGTCTCTGACATCCATCACAGAGAAAATAAAAGAATCGTCGTTAGATACATCGACAACTGCACATAACCAACAAACTAATTGTGATTAGCTGCAAGAGAAGATACTTACACGATCCTCAAAATCGGGGCCACCGAGATTAATTGATAGATTCCTCATTAGCAGCATCACCTGCAGTGCGACGCAAAACAAACAAACAAATAACATTATCATGGCTACACATTCAGAGGTACATACAGTGAGATTGACCAACAGAGTAAAATGAATGGCACGGGTATCATACCGTTTCCACATCTATGCGGTCCATCTTTTTCAGATTCCGCAGATAGTCGATCGGTAGCATATGGGTCGAAAACACTGCCGATGAAGCTGTAAACTTGGGCAAAGTCTGATAAAACTGATAAATGAAAAAGGACACTGTCAGGTAAAAAATGGTAAAAATAGTAAAGATGAGATGAAAGAGTAGAATATCAACATTGCCCACCTCTTAATGAATGACCATGGTTGTTTTTGGGCTAACGAAACGTCGTGGCTTTTGTGTTTTAATTTTTTAATCCACGTAATCCACAATTAAATGACTTTGATTATCTCCAAACTAATTGTATTCATTAGTAAAACGTATCGCGTAACAATTTTTACTCCACTAAGTTAGCCTAAATTAAATGACTACGATGAAAGTATAAACATATCAAGCTCAACCGGTTTGCAACGTTTCAAACTCTTTTTCTACTGGCATTCTAAATCCAGGTAATAACACATATCAATCTCATTTATTCTAATAACAATTGTCAGCATTAATGGATTAGTGGGGAATACTAACGGTTTTTTTTATTAGTCGGTTAATAAATAACAATCAGAATTTTAAAATCTGTGACGTGGAATTTTAAAATCAGAATATTATATATATAGATTTATAATTTTTTTATTGTAAATTTTGTGTAAATAGATATAGAATATAGAATATTTGTTAGATAAAAAGAAAATGTATGTTTTATTGATTTCTATTGTAATGTAAAATCATATATATTAGTTTCTATTATAATACTGTTTGAATGTTTTTATTATTTATTTTATTGTAAACTGTAAGCACAAATTATATTTAAACACAATTTTCATAACATAATTCTAAATCTATTTAAACAACATTTTCATTAAATATATATATAGAATAGAAAAGATTTTATTTGACAAGGAAAAATATATATTTTTATTGTAATGTAATATCATATATACGTATATTAGTTTTTATTATAATGTTTGGATGTTTTTTATTATTTATTTTTTATAAACTGTAGTGATATATTAGTTTTTATTATAATGTTTGGATGTTTTTTATTATTTATTTTTTATAAACTGTAGTGATATATTAGTTTTTATTATAATGTTTGGATGTTTTTTATTATTTATTTTTTATAAACTGTAGTGATATATTAGTTTTTATTATAATGTTTGGATGTTTTTTATTATTTATTTTTTATAAACTGTAGTGAGAAATTATATATAAACATAGATATTTCAATTGCACAATAAAAATTATAAAAATGATGAAATTGAAGATGATGTGGCTTTCGTAAGCAATTGAATATATTTCAATTGCATAATTATTTTTGCTTTATTGATCAATGAAAGTTAAATAAATTGCCACATGGATGATGATGTGGATCCTATGTGGCTTCACCACAATCCTTTAAACTCTTTTATTAATATATATAGATTATTATTATTATTATTATTATTGTTCGAATACTCACGTCATGGATGATGCCTCCTCTTGAGATTAAAATTGTGAACAAATTATTTCAAATATAGCTGTGGAGGGTTTTTTTAATTATTGTAATTTTGGTGAATCACGAAACTTGGGGGAGAAAATCACTTATAGTCAACATTTCCTACGTTGACTATTGACGGCAAAATTCACAAAGCAAAATACATTTTTAAGAAATTGAGACTAATAGTTATCAAATATTTTACACTTAAAGTCTAAAGGAAACAGCACTTACATTAAATACGTAAGCAATTAATCTTTTGCTCTTTTTTTTTTTGGAAAAAAAAAAGAGAAAAACTCTCACTCAGACAGAAAACTCCGGCGGAGATGACACCGAAGCCACGCGCCGGCCACGCTCTGACCGGCTATTGACGGCGAACTTGAGACTCCCTTCATGCATACCTTTCTCCTTCTCTCTCTCCGACCACTCTCTCATGTAATAGTACTCTTCCGTACACTTCACTTCATCACTTGTCGGGGGCAGGAACATGCTCCCCCACTGCGGGAAGTGAACTAAAGTCACTGGCAAAGTACACGCCACGATCATCACCCCCATCCACGTCAGCCCTTCTCCGGTCGTGAACCGTGACGTGGAAAAGAAGACGAGCTGTGTCAGACCGGACCCGAAATTGCCTCCGGCTCCCGTTAGACCGGAGATTATACCAAGTGACCGGCGAGAAATGAAGGGTATGATCGCGAACGTGGCTCCACAGGCGGCCTGGGCTCCGACCGAGAAGAGGATCATCGCGGTTACGGCCGTCGAGAGGGTATCGGCTAGAAACAACCTCCGAGTGTCTGAATTATCCATAGCGTCCACAAGCGTCCTCTCATGCCTAAATACCTTGCGGCCATGTCCGAGGCCCAGCCGCCGAATGGACGGGCGAAGAAATTGGCCATTCCGAAGGCCGCTGCTATCGTTCCAGCGGTTTGGAGTTTGAGATGGAATCTACATGTATGTATATGGTCAATTTAAAAATCAAGACTCTTATAAATTGGAAATTACGGATAGTTTACGGCCTTCATATAATTCTATAATTTATATATTAGTACGTTTCTTCAATTTTCAGGTTACTAATTAGTTTTACCTGTCGAAGAAGTATTCTGCGATAACATTATCGGTAGAGAGCTCTACTCCCATGGAGTATCCGTACAGAACGACAAAAATCCATGTCCTATAGTTTGTAATGGCGTACCAAAATATCTGATGATCAAAAACCAATATTTTGTTACCATGTATACATATATAATCAAATATATATATATATATATATATATATATATATATGATCAAACACACATGTATATATATATATAT